TCAATCACCTCTCCAACAAAAAATCGGATCCACACACCGAAAAGATAGACGTCAACAAAGTCGTAATTAATCGCAGTAACAGTTCCATTTCTGATGGTCTGAAATCCGTTTTAGCTCAAGGTCTAAACTTTGCTGTCACACCGAGACACATACTGGTTAATGATATCATTGCCCATTTCGACGTTGCACTCAAGGGCTTGAGTCACATCTCTGCAGACGTAGCAAGATCTGAAATCGCTGCAACCCTCAAAAACGCCAAGTTGCCACCCAGCAACATCAGCAAAGATGAACGCTTTGAATTATCTCAATTAAAAAAGAGAGATGATATTGTCGTTCTCTCAGCCGACAAGGGCAATGCCACTGTCATCATGGACAAAACAGAATATAACAAAAAAATTCAAGAACTACTCAACGATGGCAGCTATACAAAAATAAAAAGAGATCCCACCAACAGCCTGGTTACCAAAACGAACAAAATCATCTCTGATTCAACAGCATTAATTGATCAGACCAAACAGTTCTCGTTGAAACCCTCTGCTGCCAGACCACCAAGATTATATGGCCTTCCAAAGATACACAAAGAAGATACACCCCTTCGTCCCATCGTCTCTACTATCAACTCCCCCACCTATAAACTGGCACGTTTTCTTGCTGATATACTGCGACCTTTCACTGGAAAAAACACCTCTGCGGTACTAAATTCTACTCACCTGGTATCGACAATCAAAGTCATTTCCCTGTCCCCAGACGACCTGCTTGTCAGTTTTGATGTGGTGTCCTTGTTCACCAAAGTCCCGGTACCTGACACCATTGCTATCATTGAAGACCTGGTTCATCAAGGACTGCATACTGATGTACCCCCCTGGTGAGACATTGCTTAACCAACACATACTTCACCTGGAATGGAACTTTCTACAAACAAACTGAGGGCACCCCAATGGGCTCCCCCCTATCTCCGGTTGTAGCCAATGTATTCATGGAAAAATTTGAAACTGACGCCATCCAGACTGCCACTCTACGCCCGACCTTATGGAAGAGGTACGTGGATGACACCTTTGTCATCTGGCCACATGGCCAGCCTGCTCTAGACCAATTCCGCGACCACATCAATTCCATACACCCAGCCATCAGATTTACCATGGAGGTTGAAAAAGATGGCAAACGACCCCTTTTGGATGTCTTAATTAAAAGGAGACATGATGGTTCAATGAGCCACTCTGTCTACAGGAAAGCTACCCATACAGATGCTTACTTGAAACCGGATTCCCACCACCATCCATCCCAGAAGAACTCCCTCATCAAGACTCTATACCATAGAGCCCAATGCATTTCCGACCAGGAACACATTACCAGTGAACTCAAGCACGTACACCAGGCTCTCAGGGCTAATGTTCACTCCGACTACACAATCCGCAAAGCCATCACTCCAGTCATGAAGAAGGATCCTCTTGTGGAGCCACTCAAAACCATCACCTTACCCTACATTGCAGGGGTCACTAAAAAGATCTCCAAAATCCTGAATAAACACAAGATCCAGGTCCGATTCAACACAGTACATAAAATCCGTGATCTGGTTCCATCTGTAAAAGATGCTGTTCCAGACATACAGTACCCGGGCGTTTACAAACTAAAGTGCCTCTGTGGTACTAGCTACATTGGAGAAACCAAACGACATATCTCGGACCGCATCCGCGAACATAAAGCAGACTTGAAACACGGTAGAACGAACTCCTCTGCCGTGGCGGATCATTGTTATAATTCAGTGGGATCACATGACATTGACTTCTCCAAGACGGAGGTTCTTTGCAAACCAACCGGCTACCATGAGAGATTCGTTCATGAGGCCATTCACATATACAAGCACAGAGACAATTTCAACCGAGAAGATGGTTTCTGGCTTAGTAACCATTGGAAAGATGTTTTAAACCATTTCCATTCTTAATTAATTGTATTTTACGATGACCTTCAGACCGCAGCTCTTTCGCTGGCATTGACTCTTAATACCTCTCACACCACGGTTAATGGTATGGTTTACAACATGGAGTATAACAGCGCCTCGCAGCTGTCTCTCTCCCCCTCCTCCGTTCCGACCATGGATGAACTCGTCCGTCTGAACGGGGCTCGTAGCTATCCGTGGTGCTAAAGTTGAGGGTAAGAATCCACCCATTTTTTCGCCATATAGCATTGTGATATATAACGACTTATGGTTGGTAGCTTAGCTGATTGGAGAATATATAGAGTTTATTGATAACATTGAGGTAATTTATATTTTAGTTTTTTATTGGTTTACTATATAGTATTCATTATATAGTGTAGTGTATACCCAGTTACTGTGAATAGCTCAGATGTGTAGGCTTTGACTTTAACATAGCCATTTCTGTGACCAGTCACAAGCTAATCACTCAGCTATTTCAATGCTAAATTCTATGCTAATTCCTTTGTCAAGGGGTGCCTCTGTGGATGTGTATGCTTTGACTTTAACATAGCCATTTCTGCGACCAGTTACAAGCTAATCACTCAGCTATTTCAATGCTAAATTCTATGCTAATTCCTTTGTCAAGGCGCTTTGTTTCTTCTCACACAGCTTAAAGGTCGCGATCTGAGCGTGGCTTTGTTCGCTCCAGCGCTGTCCTCCAGACAGTCTCGTCCCTTCACCTAATGAAGGCCGCTTGTGTTGTAGCCGAAACGTCTTGAGAATATGATTGTGTTATTTTATCAATTTATTATTTTATTCTCATTCTACGCGACTTTACCGAAAGAACCAAAGAAGATGAATCCTTGCAGTCACGAAAGCTTTAAATCGAAACACACCCTGTTGTTACACACACACCCTGTTGTTACACACACACCCTGTTGTTACACACACACACACCCTGTTGTTACACACACACTGTTGTTACACACACACACACTGTTGTTACACACACCCTGTTGTTACACACACACACTGTTGTTACAAACACACACCCTGTTGTTACACACACACACACACCCTGCTGTTACACACACACACCCTGTTGTTACACCCACACCCTAATGTTACACATACCATGTTGGTACACACACATCCTGTTGTTACACACACACTCCCACATACACCCTGTTATACACACCCTGTTGTTACACACACACCCTGTTGTTACACACACACCCTGTTGTTACACACACACACCTTGTTACACACACACCCTGTTGTTACACACACACCCTGTTGTTGCACACACACCCTGTTGTTACACACACACACACCCTGTTGTTACACACACACACACCCTGTTGTTACACACGCAACCTGTTGTTACACACACACACTGTTGTTACACACACACCCTGTTGTTACACACACACTGTTGTTACACACACACACACTGTTGTTACACACACACTGTTGTTACACACACTGTTGTTACACACACACTGTTGTTACATACACTGTTGTTACACACACACACCCTGTTATTACACACACACACACTGTTGTTACACACACACACTGTTGTTACACACACACTGTTGTTACACACACACACACTGTTGTTACACACACACACCCTGTTGTTACACACACATACCATGTTGGTACACACACACTGTTGTTACACACACACTGTTGTTACACACACTGTTGTTACACACACACTGTTGTTACATACACTGTTGTTACACACACACACCCTGTTATTACACACACACACACTGTTGTTACACACACACACTGTTGTTACACACACACTGTTGTTACACACACACACTGTTGTTACACACACACACCCTGTTGTTACACACACATACACTGTTGTTACACACACACACTGTTGTTACACACACACACTGTTGTTACACACACACACTGTTGTTACACACACACACACTGTTGTTACACACACACACACTGTTGTTACACACACACACACTGTTGTTACACACACACACACTGTCGTTACACACACACACACTGTTGTTACACACACACACACTGTCGTTACACACACACACACGGAGTCGTTACACACACACACACAGAGTCGTTACACACACACACACTGTCGTTACACACACACACACGGAGTCGTTACACACACACACGTAGTCGTTACACACACACACGTAGTCGTTACACACACACACGTAGTCGTTACACACACACACGGAGTCGTTACACACACACACTGTCGTTACACACACACACTGTCGTTACACACACACACTGTCGTTACACACACACACTGTCGTTACACACACACACTGTCGTTACACACACACACTGTCGTTACACACACACACTGTCGTTACACACACACACTGTCGTTACACACACACACTGTCGTTACACACACACACTGTCGTTACACACACACACTGTCGTTACACACACACACTGTCGTTACACACACACACTGTCGTTACACACACACACTGTCGTTACACACACACACTGTCGTTACACACACACACTGTCGTTACACACACACACTACACTGTCGTTACACACACACACTGTCGTTACACACACACACTGTCGTTACACACACACACTGTCGTTACACACACACACTGTCGTTACACACACACACTGTCGTTACACACACACACTGTCGTTACACACACACACTGTCGTTACACACACACACTGTCGTTACACACACACACTGTCGTTACACACACACACTGTCGTTACACACACACACTGTCGTTACACACACACACTGTCGTTACACACACACACTGTCGTTACACACACACACTGTCGTTACACACACACTGTCGTTACACACACACAGTTGTTACACACACACACCCTGTTGTTACACACACACACACTGTTGTTACACACACACTGTTGTTACACATACACATACACTGCTGCAACCACGTGTCTGGCTACCCGCCTCGGGAAGCGGATTCCCCTACACGGGGGGCGGGGTGGGGAGGAGGGCTTTGGGGATTGACGCAGGGGGGGGGGGGGATGACGCTGGAGGGGGGGGGGGTTGTGACGCGGGGTGTGGGGGAGGGGCTAGGGATGCAACCCGCCCCTGCATCATCCGGACTCCACATGCTGAAGTCATCATCAACATCAACACTCACGGCTTCTCTTCACCGTCACCATCATCGCGCCTGTTTCCTTATCGTTATACAGTATTCGCTAATCCACCGTAATCATAACCATCATCAGCCCTGACTCATCATCGGCATCTGCCCAGATTCATCAGCAGCTGCAAAGGAGGCATCATCATCATCATCAGCACTCGCCGCTGTCGCCGTCCTCGTTCCCGCGATGGCAGCGGATGACGGAGACGCGCTCTACGGTGAGCAGCGGGCTGGGTCGTCGTGGGATCCACGTGGGTCTGGGTGGGTTCTGGTGGGTCCTGTTGGGAACCGAATGGGTCTGGATGGGTTCTGGTGGGATCCACGTGGGTCTGGGTGGGTTCTGGTGGGTCCTGGTGGGAACCAAGACGGTCGGTCTTGATGGGGCTGTTGGGTCATAACGGGTGGTGATTTGTGCTGATGGGTCCTGGTGGGGCCTGGTTGGACCTGGTTGGACCAGGTGAACTCTTGCATAGCTCCTCCTTTATAAGTCCCGGTGGCTTGGTGGTCCCTGGCGACGCCCTGCAAGGGTACCCCGTTGTCTAGACCCTCGTCTAGCAGTGCATGGGCCATCATCAGTCAGGATCAATGCACTGCTGGATGAAGGTCTCACCCCCCCCCCCCCCCGGCCTCTGCCACCTCTCAAGAGCCTGCTACGGTTAACAATACATCCCCAGTGCGGTGTTGCACAACACACAAACATTCTACTGATGAGACACTGCACAACACACAAACATTCTACTGATTAGACAATGCACAACACAAACATTCTACTGATGAGACACTGCACAACACACAAACATTCTACTGATTAGATACTGCACAACACACAAACATTCTACTGATGAGACACTGCACAACACACAAACATTCTACTGATTAGACACTGCACAACACACAAACATTCTACTGATGAGACACTGCACAACACACAAACATTCTACTGATGAGACAATGCACAACACACAAACATTCTACTGATTAGACAATGCACAACACACAAACATTCTACTGATGAGACACTGCACAACACACAAACATTCTACTGATGAGACACTGCACAACACACAAACATTCTACTGATGAGACACTGCACAACACACAAACATTCTACTGATGAGACACTGCACAACACACAAACATTCTACTGATGAGACACTGCACAACACACAAACATTCTACTGATTAGACACTGCACAACACACAAACATTCTACTGATTAGACAATGCACAACACACAAACATTCTACTGATTAGACAATGCACAACACACAAACATTCTACTGATGAGACACTGCACAACACACAAACATTCTACTGATGAGACACTGCACAACACACAAACATTCTACTGATGAGACACTGCACAACACACAAACATTCTACTGATTAGACAATGCACAACACACAAACATTCTACTGATGAGACACTGCACAACACACGAACATTCTACTGATGAGACAATGCACAACACACAAACATTCTACTGATGAGACACTGCACAACACACAAACATTCTACTGATGAGACACTGGAATGTCGATCCTGGTCCAGAGTTTGCTCGTGTTGAACCAATGTTGCTAACATGATGCACTAGGCCGTGTGGCTGATGGATGTGTAAAATGCATGTTGATGTGGAGGGGCTGATATGTGAAGGAGGCGTGATCATGGCTGCTTCTCTGCATTGTGGGGCTGTACAGTGAGCGCGATTGGTGTCGCATCTGTGTGTACAGTACAGTCGGGAGGCAGGAGGAGGAATCTGCTATCGTCATGTCCCCCGTGATTCAGAGTTGATTTGCTGGGTCAAGTCGCGTGAGCACAACGCCGATGTGTGTCGTGGACCCTCCTCCACCAGAGGCAACAACAGTGTGTAACAACTGTGTGTGTGTAACAACAGGGTGTGTGTGTCACAACAGGGTGCGTGTGTGTAATAATTAAAGTTGTCACGTGAACAAACACACTTTTACTTATTAACCAAGAGTGATCCACATAATTTAATGCCTGCATCGGTAAATGTTTAGACACCTTATGAATCGTAACAATTGTCGCGAAAGCCCGCGTGTTGAACCCTAACCCCAACCCCCAGTGTTGTTCAAGGCAGGAAGCCACGGGAAACCTCGGACTCTTTACAAGAGGGCCCGGCACGGCAACGTCTCGCCAGTCGTTTGTGGTTCAGTCCTGGCCAGCGTTGTCGCACCTGTTGGTGTGTGACAGGGACATATTGCGCAACGTGCCGTGATGGAAGAGATGGCGCCAATCCACTGGTGGATAAAGGGGCCACCCCGTGCGACGGGTCGTAGGGAAGTCATTTGACCATACTTCACCACGATGGTCGGTGCACAGTGGTGAATGGGGTTAGTGTGATCTTGACCGGTCCAGATGTGCTGCTTATGTAATTCGCCACAGATTGTTAGCCGTAACCAGGAATTTTATTTGGCATGTTTGTTTCATAACGAAGTGCGCTAACCAATGCGCCACCGCTCCACGTGTGAGTTTGTAAGTTCTCCCGCTGAGCTACAGCGTGAGTCTGTGCGAGTGGATGGCAGTGAGCGTGTGGCCTTCATAGGAGCTCGCTAACAGCACTCGCCCCAACAGTGTGTTGGGGTGGGGGGTGTTTGTGTGGAGTCTGCACGATCCACCCTCATTGTGCATCGGGTCCCTCTGGGTTCTCCGGTTTCCTCCTCGCTTGCGAACCGCGCCCTCCACCCCCACCCCCGCCAACTGCGGCAACTTGGCAGGGCCCTCTTGAAAATGAGTCCCGAGACTCCGTGAGGCTCTACTCGGTAAACAACACAAAACCAATTTGAGATCGTCTCACTGAGTCTCAAGACTCGTGTTGAGGAGGGTCCCGCGACATTGGCATCGGCGGCTCCGCTCGCGAGGGACCGAGAAAAGCCTTCACGCGACTCACGAAGGGCTCCCTCTCGAGATGGGTTCATGGACCCTCTTGCTCTGCCGCTGCTTCCTCGCCATCATCTCCTAGATCAGTTACTTGGGAGGAATCTGTGCGTGATTTCCCAAGCCTTGCAGTTAAAAGCAGGATGGCAGGCGCTCCACATAGCCACCACGCCCCGGCACCCGCAGCGCTCACAAGAGCAGCAGCAGCTGCGTGCCCCCGCCTGTGTTGCTCTGCGGACCCGGCGAACCGGGTTCGATTCCCGCTCACGGCTAACACCGGTGACAATTATCTGAATTGGTTCTGGGCCTCGCCTAGGTCGACCCAGCCTCAAATTAGTACCTGTGTAAAGATCGCCACTAGGGAGACAAAGGTGGCCGGGTATGGTGCTGTCCTCCCACCCTCTCGTGTGCCGTGCCGGCCTTAACGTGTGCTCACGGCGCTTGCCCCAACAGTCTGTTCCGCCTACACGGGGCGTCGTTATTCTGGCTGTGTTGTTGTTGGTGGTGGTGGTTGTGACCGTACGAGTGCTCACGTCAGAACTAACAGCAGCGCCATAGGCACTACCAACACTGACACCAGTCCTAACTCTTAGCATAAACATTAACACAACCCTAAAGTCGAACGCTATAACACAAGGCTAACCCGGCCCTACCTAGACCTCGACCCTGACCCTAACCCGGCCCCACCCCTCACCCACCCCGACCTTCACAGAGCCGAGACCCCCTCACTCAACCGGCACCACGAGTCGGCAGATACCCGCCCCTCCTCCACGTGTTTGTGTCTCGGCGAAAAAATTATCAAAATATTTTACACATTCCATCAGCCACGCACTTGGCCCTCTGTGAGTGCATCTTGGCAGCAGCGTGTGGTTCAACACAAGCAGACTGGTTGTAACATTCAGTGTCTCAACATGCGAATCGTATGACGCAATAAGTCGGAGCGAATGTAATGATTGCAGCTCGCTTTTAATCATTAAATGTTCACGATCCCCCTTTTGAATCATTGCCTCCGCTGACGATGGCCAACGTGAGCGTAGCCTGCTCATGCCGTGAGCGTGCGTCAGGACTTGCCCCAACAGGCTATAGGCGGCAACCTTTGCCTTTGTTCGGGCGGGCACGTGTTAAGAATGTGTGGGTCGTGTAGCGGTGAGCGCGTTGCGCTACGAACCTGGAAACTCGGGTTCGATTCTCTCTCACGGCAAACACCGGTGACGATTATCTGAACCAGTTCCGGGCCTCCCCTACGTCGACTCGGCGTCAAATGAGTACCCGGTGCGATGTGTAAACATCGGCACTGGGAAGACAAAGGCGGTCGGGCTTGGTGTTGGCCACCCACCCCCTCGTGTGCCGTGCCGACCTTCATAGGTGCTAGCTAACAGCACTTGCCCCTACAGTCTGTCCCAGGCTACACGGGGGATCTTTGTCTTTGGGTATTAGAGTGTATACGTACTCGCTAACAGCACTTGCCCCTACAGTAAAGACTGTAGCGGGTTCTTTGTCTTTGTAGTGAATTAAGCTTGTGCGGGGGTGAGACTGTGTGTGGTGAGACTGTGTGTGTGGTGAGGCTGTGTGTCTAGTGAGAATGTGTGTGTGGTGGGGCTGTGTGTGTGGTGAGACTGTGTGTGTGGTGAGGCTGTGTGTGTGGTGAGGCGGTGTGTGTGGTGAGGCTGTGTGTGTGGTGAGGCTGTGTGTGTGGTGAGGCTGTGTGTGTGGTGAGACTGTGTGTGGTGGCACTGTGTGTGTAGTGGCACTGTGTGTGTGGTGGCGCTGTGTGTGTGGTGAGGCTGTGTGTGTGGTGAGACTGTGTGTGTGTAGTGAGACTGTTTGTGTGGTGAGACTGTGTGTGTGGTGAGGCTGTGTGTGTAGTGGCACTGTGTGTGTGGTGAGACTGGCTGTCTGGTGGGGCTGTGTGTGTGGTAAAACTGTGTGTGTGTAGTGAGACTGTGTGTGTGGTGAGACTGTGTGTGTGGTAAGACTGTTGTGTGGTGAGACTGTGTGTAGTGGCACTGTTTGTGTGGTGAGACTGTTTGTGTGGTGAGACTCTGTGTGTGGTGAGGCTGTGTGTGTGGTGAGGCTGTGTGTGTGGTGAGACTGTTTGTGTGGTGAGGCTGAGTGTGTGGTGAGGCTGAGTGTGTGGTGAGGCTGAGTGTGTGGTGAGGCTGTGTGTGTGGTGAGACTGTGTGTGTGGTGAGGCTGTGTGTGTGGTGAGCCTGTGTGTGTAGTGGCACTGTTTGTGTGGTGAGGCTGAGTGTGTGGTGAGGCTGTGTGTGTGGTGAGACTGTGTGTGTAGTGGCACTGTTTGTGTGGTGAGGCTGAGTGTGT